ACTTAGCTATTTAATCATTTCCTTGTATGTGAATGCCTCCATCCAACAAATATTCACAATGGTCATGATTATTATTCAATACATTTGATGTTATAATTGACATACCAAACAATTGCATCACCCAGGTAGTAATAATACCAAGAGCATGCAGGAACTAAACTTTAAGGAACATGATTTTTCAAACAATAATGTGTGTGTCTATTCAGAATCTCTGGGATTCGCAAAAATGAATAAATGAATGAGGAAGATCAAAAAATTTTTTTCCTCCCAATTGCATAAGTTCTTTAAAAACCATATAATAAATCTGATGACATTGATTGCAGGTATCAGATTTAAAAAAAAATATCCCATCACAAACATGCAAGTGCGGTGCAACTAAGCACAATTCAGCACCATAGAATTTTTTCCACAGGTGAAAGTAGCTTGAACATGTTGGAAGGCTTTTTTAAGGTGGACAGACAAAAAAATTTTCCCTAATCTTTTCCTCAGACCAGGCTTGTTGTTACCATATGGGCATTGATTGTTGACAAGAGTTGATGCTGTGCAATGATTGCTTTTCCACTAGAGTAAAGTTGGTGCCTGCAACTGGTTTGAAAATTCTGCAACTTGGAAGTTGCTGTTTTGGATTTCCCTGAATTCAGAGTTTTGAGTTCTGGGTTGCTGTCTTGTCGGGGGCATGTCTACTCACCAACAACCCTACCCCCATTTAAAAAACAAATTCAGTTGGTCAAGTAAAAATTAAAGGAACAGAGAATTTATGGGAATGGTTAATTTATACATAACATACCAAACAAAACCTGAAACATTTTATTTTACAGCTTTCTCCTTGATGCCAGTGATCATGGTGACTATCACAATAGGAGTGGGCAGAGTCAAACTGCCACTTGTACTTGTAAGATACATACTCTCATTGAGCTACACTCCTCTAATCTAGGGTGCAAAAGCCCCCATTTAAAAAATAACAAATTCAGTTGATCAAATAAAAATTAAATAAATAGAAAATGATTAATTTATACATAACATACCAAACAAAACCTGAAACATTTTATAACTTTTTTCTTGTTGACCATTTGGCTGACAAAGATATTACCATATAATTTTAATCTATAGGGGAGGGACCATTTAGGCAAAAGTCCATGTACCTTCCCAAAATTATATGTTTGTGTTAGTATCAGAAAGCAGATAATTTAAGAAAATCATTAGAACAAACTAAAACTATTTTACGACTTTCCTCTTAACATCAGAGCACAAATGCGATTTCAGAGTCCCCAATCCCAGTCTGAATTACAAATTCCTTGCCTGAGCTTGAGTTGCAGCAGATTTTCATTGCTTCGATGGTCTATATGTTTACATGGCACACCTATCATTACAACTCTTTGACCCAGGTTGCTACAACTCGAGTTGCACAACTTTTCAGTTGCATAGCAGGCAACTTTTCAGCCAGCATGCATATGTAACAATCTTTATCGGTAAAATAATTCTAGTCAAAATTAGGTAATTAATCCATATCATATTTGGTAATGTAGAAAAATTCGCTTTGTTTAAATTCGCTATTACTAATTTGGCAATCGGGATTATTGCGTTTTATTTCAAAGAATCATGAACATTGAATTGTTGATATTTTTATTTTTATTATTATTATTATTATTATTATATTATATTTATTATGAATGTTATCTTAAGATTAATACTTTCTGGGAAGTCTATAAGCTTCCATACAATATAGAGATTATTTATTTCTTTATTTCTTTCATGATCTATATTTGTATTTTAAGAATTGTAATTTTATTATTTAAAGAATCAAAATTCGAATTAAATAAAGATAACTTTTAATTTAACAACAATTAAATTACCTGTTCATTAACATTGTTTAAATAATTAAGTGATAATTATTTGAACGTTTACAGCATATCTGGTAATTCCAGCTCAGGCGCTGTGAGAAAAAGATTAGGTAGGATTAGTGAAAAGTGTCCTTACATTGATGCAATCTCGATAAACTCCAGGGCCATGCGCAGCCCCCCTGAAAATTTAATTGCATTCTATCTGTAAGGTGGAGCAAGGTCAGATTAGCCTTGTGTACACAAGGAATGTGTGAGAATGACTGTAAGGTGTTCAAGTAGAGTGTGCCTTGACGTATGTGAAAGTATACAATTATGAAAACGTCACATATTGAATTGTTTCTGTTCCTTGATCTTAATATTATTTAATATTAATATTATTAATGTTGATTACAAAAAGCAAAATACCAATCGTTTACCATAAAAAATCTTGTAAATACATCAGGAAATTTTTTCTGATGCGGATTTACGTAACTATTACACTATTTACGTAAGTTTACGGCGGGCCCGTAATATTATGCAGATAAGCATACAAAAATTATGCAAATATTACATTGAGTGTAAATATTACATAATTTTTTATGCAAATATTACAACTTTACATATTAAAATTTATGGACGTAATATTGCGGTGGGGAAATTTCCTGATGATAGCTGGTGCTTGCTTTGTGTTATCACCCTCTCTCACTAGAATAAAGTTGATTTAAATAACAAGTTCAATTGGTCAAACAAAAATTAAAGAAAAACAGAAAAATTATGAAAATGATTAATTTATAACATAACATACCAAATCCAAACCATTTTATGACTTTTCTCATTGGTGACAAAGATGTATATAATCATGTGATAATTTTAATCTACAAGACAGGGGACTGATTGGGCAAAAATTATAAATTGGTTAGTATCAGAAAAACAGAGAATTTATGAAAGTGATTATACAAAACAGACACTATTTTACAACTTTCCTCTTAACATCAGAGCCCAATTCAATTTCAGGGCCACAAACCCTGCTTTGAATTGTGACCTCCTGTGCTTGGAACAAGTTGCAGGTTCTTGTTGCTTTGATGGATCTGGATGTGCACCTAATATTACAATTCATCTGCAGAGTTGCGACTTGGTCACAGAGCCATCCTACCCTAGAGGTAGGACCATTGCATGCAACTTTTCAACCAGCATGTCAGCAAGCCTTATCTGGTCTGGAAAGATTAGTGAAAATGTCATTGACGATTGATACAGTCTTGGTAAACTCCAGGGCCATGCACCCCCTGGAATTCGGTAGCATTGTTGTATCATCATGGAAATCTTGGTCAAATTAGCCTTGTGTACACGAGGAACGTGTGAGAATGACTGTAAAGTGTTCAAGGTAGCATGCATGCTTCAACATCTGTAAATTTTCGATAATCAAACATCACATACCAAAATGTTTCTTTTTAAATGGTGTGCTGCCTTGACATCTTATAATAATATAATATTAGTATTATTATTATGATTATGCAAATTAAAATATTATTATTATCAATGAAAATCTTGTAATTACCCAGCAAGATCTGCTCCGCATTTTGATTTCCAATTAAAATATTTATAAGCTAAAATAAAAGACACCTCATACATATCAATACAAATAAAAAATAGCACTTCTGTAGAGTTCCTAACCATAATTATAACTCCATATTCGAATATTCGTAAATCCAAATTATGAATTTCAAATATTATTTTGGATACTCGTAATTATTTTGGATACTCGTGATTATTTTGTATGCTCATTATTTCAGATATTTGTATAAATTCTAACAAACTATTATTAATTTTTTCTTGTTCTTTAATTGATAAAATTTCTTTTTGGACATCATCAATTTGATTGTTCATTTCAAGCTATATTAAAAAATTGTTAATAAATTATATCATCATACAAATCAAAAAAGTATCATCAATTTTTATCAGGTGTAAGAATATTATGACATTTTAAAAATGATTTATACAATTGAGTATTAGGAAAATTTTTCTGCAAATTCTTTATTATCTTTGAAAAATGTTTGTTATATAGTAAGATAAGTTACAAATAAGTTAATACTATTTGTTATCAATCGATAATCATTCATATTTTATCATAACGAATGTTTGAAATTCAAAATAAATACAAGTATCCAAAATAATTACGAGTATCCAAAATAATTAAGAAATAAAATATATATATTCAAATATCCTTGAATAAATTGATTTTCGAATATTCGTAAAAAATCTGATTTTCGATTAGTATTAGGAACACTATTTACGTTTTAAAGTTTCGATAATATATACGTGTAACATTAAAAAATACGCACATAGTGAACTATGTTTGATGATCAACCATTGTGACTAACCCCAATAGTATATGCACTCTAATCCAATCAAAAAAGTTTTCTATTTTTCCTTTGTAGTGATAATAACAATAAACAATCAGAAACAATTGACATTCTTTATTTTTCTTTCTTTGGTCAATTAATCATGATAGTTGATTTTTTCCCTTTGTATATAGTGATAATAATAATAGCAATTTATTTATTTTTACTAGCAAATAATCATAATATATGGTTTTTATTTGAATGTTTATTCGAATAACGAATAAAATGAAACTTTACCCAAATTTTTCTCCTTTACCCATTTTGCATATAACATGTCAAAAGATTAAAAGCTTTACCAATATAAGACATGTAACTTCATATGTAACCATTGAAAAAAATTATCCAATATATTTTTATCTAAAAATCATATTAACATAGTTCTTTACTAATTCTCAATAAACCCATATTTGAATCTAATATGATATTATTAGTTTCAAGGTACGTAAAATAAAACATTGTTTGAATCAATAATTTAGTATTGGTAAAATAAGCAGGGTCTTTAGAAAATTCATCGATTACAATTGAACCTTTGGCTATTTTTCTATTTTAAAATTTTTTGCTTTTCGTGACATAAAAATTGCTTTACCTGATTTTGGATATGACTTATAATAAAAATTTTCTGTTATACCCATTTATTAAAAGTCTTTACCCAAGTTTTCATGTAACTTCAGCAAAAACTCAGATGTTACATCAATTATAATAATCCAGGGTCCCATTACAATCGCATAATTCAGATAAGAATTCGTGTTACGAATAGACACGAAACCTACCCAAAGAAAAAAGTAAAGGCTGATGATACTCTCTAGAGCGGCTGGAAACTCTAGCGGGAGTAGCATTACCCATATTTATTTCATCATTACACATAAATATTATGTTTTGATACTTGTATTTATTCCTATAGATAAAACAGTGTCAACTTCTATTCAGGATTTACGTATACACAAACAGGAAGTTTTATGCTAGCAATTACTACAGCAAATTATTCAAAAAAAAAATTTTTTTTTTTGTATTGGATTAAATTCTTCATACTTTGTCCTTTTTTTTTTGCCAATCATAAAAATTTTCTAAATTTTATCTGATCTTTTCGTAACTTTAATCCTCTGGTTTCAACAATGAACATTAGAATTTTTTTATTTTATTTTTCAATCAATATGCTTTACGTGATTTACGAAAATGAATTCAATTTCCATTTGGCGAGGAATTTTTTATAGAGACGCATATAGACTGGGTTATGATAATTTCTAACAAATAAAAAAACTATATAAGAACGCCCATAGACCATATATGAACAAACACATTTTATGTCATACATAATAAATAATAATAATAATAAATAATAATAATAATATGATCGGCATAGATATATTAAACTTTGTGGGTTTTGACATTTTTTTCTATTGTTTTTACAAAATGATGCGACATAACAACTTAAACATGGTCGATTATTTTCTTTAATCATTCATATGCAGATTAAAAACACCTATCAATTTAATGATTAAAGATTTGTACAATATTTTGGGATACAATGTAAAACATACTATCTGTGATTTACAAAAAAAAAAAATAGCTCAATTTTTTGTTTATATTTTATTTGTGAATTAGTTTCGTGGAATTGGTCGTTTAACATTGTACACGAATTATTGTTTCATTAGCAAATTTAAAACTTTATTTTAATAAAACGAAATTTTATTACACAACTCTATGTGTGACATATCTATGTATTGTTCTATGTTCTTTTTAAAAATTACGTGCAGGAATGATTCCATGTACCATAAAATAAATCCAGTTTGAATCTGGATTTATCAATAATAATAATAATAATAATAATAATAATAATAAAATAACATAAAACCGGAAAGCCCGGTTTCTTAAAGTAATATTTCGGGACATTGATGTTCTACGTTCTTTTTTAGGGAATTGTGTCACAGAGACCCTTTTTTTCAACTTTTTTTTAGCGATTACACAAGAGTTCTGAAATTTTATCGGAGTTTTTGAATAAAATCTACTACTATTACTATTATTATTCGCAAAAACTGTAAATCCGTAAATCCGTAAATGGTTATTAATATTAACATAATAATAATAATCGTAATTTGTAAGCGTAGTCAGCTATTTGTAATTCAAATATATATATAGATTACAAATGCGAAACCAAAATTTTCTTGAAGTTTGTTTGGTAGTTGGGGATTATGAAAAATTTTGACTTTTTCTGCCGTGTAACGATAACCCTCCATGATGCAGTTAAAACTGTAATGTTAATACGTTTTTTTTTGCCTGTTATCCTGTTACCGTTAATAAACGGAGCCAATTGCGGTTACTATTGCGTATATTTGCGTAACTTCGGGGATTGAGCTTTTTTTTTTCCTACGAAGCCAACTATAATGATTGCACATTTTCATACTGCTTCTTTTTCCCCAGCGTTTATTATTTTTCTTACTTCTTGACAGACTTCATTGGCAACGTTCTATATAATTAATTATACAAGATATTATTTTGCCACTTTGCTCCTTTTTTTAAAAATAATTGTGATAGTTCTATTACATAAACTAAGTTTACATTTATATTTTTATATAGGAGCAATCTTATAATATTCCATTTAAGTAAAAATAAAATAAAAAAACTTTAATATAGCAAAAGAAAAATCTAACTTTGCGTTGATTTATTTTACCACCGTCAATCGCTTATTATATACAGAAAGTAGTTTGGTAATCAACAGTGTATTGGTTCAGGAATGCTATCCCCATATAAAGGAAGTGTTTTATTGATTGTTTAATTAGTATGTTTAGTATTAATATTAAATTTATGTATTACTATATAATAATAAGATTTGAGTCTAGATCTTGAGTTGAATATGTTCAATTCAATTCACATGTAAATAATAAACAATAAACAATAAAGCATAATTAAATCAACTCCATTAGTACTTAATTATTTAATAAAACAAACAGAAAAGAAAATTGTTTATATTGTATTTATTGTGTTATTGTATTCTAAAAAATATTATAAAAACCGTTTATTGATGATTTGACAAAACAGAATAAATATTGACATTTTAAAATTTTTCTTTCAAAAATATAAAAAATTTTCTTAAAATCTTCAAAATAATCAATAAAATCATAAAAATGGGAAACGTTCGTTCAAGAGACGCAAGAAAATCTCGGTTTCGTTATATTAATGGAAGAAGATATCACAACGACAAAAATTCCAAGTATTTTCTTCCAAATGACGACGAAGAAGGTAATATTACATTTGATTAATTGGTTAATTTGTTTGGTTAAATAATAATTAATATTGTAATTATATAAATATAGTCGACAGATTACAAACTCAACATTTTTTATTTCGTCACATATGGGAAGGAAACTTTTCCTCCCCAATGGATCATTTATTTGAGGAAGGTGGTGTTAGTGTATTAGATATTGGGTATTTATTAATCTTTATTATATATATATATATATATATATTACGGCAAAGATAAAAAACAAAAATTAATATTATGGTTATTTGCAGCTGCGGCCCTGGAGCCTGGGTGCTAAACATGTCTATCGACTACCCAAAATCAACATTTGTCGGAATTGACATTTCGCCAATATTTCCAAGCGAAATCAAACCAAAGAATTTAACGTTTCTAACTTGTAATTTATTAGACGGACTACCATTCCATGATGAAAATTTCGATTATATCCATGTAAGATTTTTAATGACTGCTTTCACTGAAGATGAATGGAAGGATAAAGTGATACCGGAATTGATGAGGGTTGTAAAGAGAAATGGTTGGGTTGAATTGATGGACGGGGAGGTTATTTATAGTGTGGAAGGGGAGAGGCGGGAAGAAATTCAATGTGAACATCAATACCAATATCAAAATGACGAAATACTACATCCAAACCTTAATCTTAATCTAAATCAAAACAATGAAAATAAATTTATAACTGTGATAAAGGCATTTGAATCAACTTTAATATCAAATAATATTAATCCCAAATTAAAAGATTTACTATCAATACTGCTAGAGAATCGTTTAAATAATTGTAAATCAATAAAAAATTTATCATATCAAGAGAGGATAGTCCTAATAGGTGATCATAATAACGATAACTGTATGTTGGAGGATGATGATACTGATAGTTACAAATATGGAGATGGAGATGAAGATGGAGATGGAGATGGAGATGAAAAAAGTCAAATAACTACTACATCATCATCAACGTCAACTTCGCCTAATAATAGTCTTTCAGAATTACTATTACAAGATATTGTACAATTTATGAATTCTTTAAAACCTTTATTAATTAGAGTTTTAAATTTAAATGATCAAAATGAATTTGATATATTAGTAGAACAGTTTATTAAGGACATTTATGAAAATAATTATTTTTATTGTAGTTATCGTTATTATTTCCAAAAAATTTAGTTTTTTTTGTAAAATAACTATAATTAAAATAATAATATAAATAAATATAAAAATGTAACAAAATCATTTATTGATGAATCCTTTGCATTTAACTGGTGACTGACTATGTTCCTGCATTTTTATTTATTCATTTATTTGCTCTTCAGGGAGATATTTATTTACCAGTTCGTGACTCATTAATTAACTCTTTATTTGTTTAGAAAAAAATTGGGAGGTTCTGTGTTAACGTGGTACAAAATACAAAATTACAAAACATTACAATTAATATTAAAAAAACTTTTCCGTCAATTTTTTTTCTATTGTTTTTTTACAATAACGTCGATCTTCAACCAGCCATTTTGCTGTTGTGCAATTTCGACAAACATTTACAATGACGATTACAATCAAAGTTGATATCAGCAACCAAGATGTTGTGACAACCTGTTTCAGAATTTAGAATATAAGATTCTGCAACTCAGGATGTTGCAGTTTCACAATAATGATACTGATTTAATTTTCTTTAAGAAAATCCTTGGCACAATATTATAGTATTAAGAAAAATGATAGTTTCGTGCCAGAAGAAATACTTGCGTTATAGATGACTCAAGATTGCGCACACACACATACTCTTTAATCCTCATTCTTAAGTTCGAATTTAATACAAGATCCAGCTTTTTACTACTGCGGTTAATGTTATTTGACGAAACGTTCTCAGGGTTGTAAGACTATTACGTAAAATTCATTAAAACTAAGCCTATGACTAAAGCGAGAAACGTTGTTGAATAAATAAAAAGTCTCAATTTGAAAAAAAAAACATTAGAATTTTTTTTTTTAATAACAGTGTTGGTAACACCCTTGCAATTGTTTATTTATTTATTTAGATATTAAATACATGGTATCCTTTTTTAATTAATTAAAATAAAAAGATTGGTGTTATGATGATTAATGACGTGATATTATAATTAATGTTGTCACGGTTTATGTTCAAGAAGAAATTAAAGTCTTTGATCAATTAGTTGTTTAATATTGGTATTAGTGGTCTAATTTTCTCTTGGTCTACTTAACAATTCTAGGCTTTATTATTAATAAATACTTGAATTGATAAAAAATAAAGTTTGATCATGTTAGAATATTGTTAATAATATTGCTTGGAAATTTGCCGAATAAATTAACAACCATATACAAGAGTTTTGCTCATATTGCGTACACTAATTATAGACAAAAACAAATATCACAAAGTTCTAGGTTTTTTATTTGATTAATTATTGAATTAACGATGCACAAAGCTTGAATAATTATACATTAATTCTAAATCTAAAATTTAATTAACTCAGAATTCGATTTTCAATGTTTTTACAACAAATGACGATAATGCAAATAAAAATGCATAACTTGCTTGTATGATAATAATAAGGTAAAAAATAAATAGAAAAAATAATAAATAAACAGTAGTTTTTTTTTAATTGGTTAAATTGATGCTTTGGTCATGACTCTCCAAGGAACCAATGTACAAACCCCAATATATGTAAAGTAAAAATAATCACTATACATAGTAATAGATAGATAATCCCCGCACGCCTAACCCAAAAAAGGCATTTATGTACTTTTTTTTACATTGGGGTTTGTACATATGGCGAAAGACATCCTAGAATTATAAAAAAAAAATTTTTTATATAATTATAGGGTTCGCGCCAACTCTATAAATGACTAATATTACTCAACTTTAACCCTTGTAACTTTTTTTTACTAAATAACTCTAAAAAAAAAACTTTCTAATTAGGACCCCGGAAACTACATAGATACGTTACCCTAAAAATTTCAAAATTTAATAACCTTTAAACTTTGATAATAATTTTACCAAAAATAGATATGACATTAAAAAATTTTTTTATTTAAAAACTGATCATATTAATTAGTTTAGTTAAAATTTCTCTTTGTGCAAAAAAACTATAAACATTCAATAAATCTTAAGACACTGATAGAATCCCAGCAAAATTATAACAATTGATGTTTGAATTAATACCAAAATAATATGGGGTATACTGCAACAAAACCAGACAAAGTGAACATTTTTATTACAGGGATTAAAATTTAGTATGACACCCCGACAGTGATAAAAATTCAGTTGTCGAGTGTAATATTATTATTATCCAATCAAATTTTGAATTTCTGGAGATAGTTTCTAAACCTGTTTTTGTTTTATATATTTATTTCTTGACTATCAATAATATCTTCTTTGTCATCCATATTATCATCATTAAAATATTCAGCTACACATGCTCAAGTATCTAGAGTTGCAAATGTCATTGATAGTAGGTTATTGATTTCACTTTGTAAAGGTGTACTTGGCTTTCTATTAGATAGATCTATACATGCAGCCCAAAGTATTTTGACACTGTCATAAAGGGGTGTTACACTTATGTTTTTAATAGTGAGTGCCGTAATTAAAAATTTCTACTTTCTACCATCAAAATTGGAATAGTTTTGACCATCAAAATCACCAAACCAATTTGGGCTGCATGTATAGTCATCACACCAGGTGTTTTCGTTGATTTGGTGAATTTAACATTCTCTTGCTAAAATTAATCAATATTTATTTGTGATCTTTCATTTCTATGATTTATAATGAAAAATATAAATAAAAAAATAGAAGCTTACATTGCTACCAACAATCCTGCTAAATCAACCATATATAAACTATTAATATCACAGGCAGCTGTTTCTGAATTTTCAAGAAAAGATGATATAAATTTTTTTTCAGCAGCATCAATTATTTTTTTATCCAAATCTGATTTTAAATGTTTCAATTCATCAGCAGCTTCCAAGGAATCATAAATGATGCTATTAGTTTCTTCCAAATCTTCATAATATAAAACTCCATTGGCTAAGAAATGATCTTTAGATAACTTTTCCCTGTCAACTGACAAACTAATTGTTTTCAGCAAATTATCAACATCATGTTCATAAAGCTTATTTAAATAATAATAAATATTAATCAAAATTAGTAAAAAAAACCTCTCAGGCATATTTTGCCAAGTATTTTAATATTTATTTACATTTGAAATTGCATTTCTAATTTTTTGAGATCAGTTACTAATATTGATGGAGTGCAGGGTTGGCAAATTGACTGGTCCATTGAGAACAGATGGATTTTGGACTGGTCCATTGCCATTAATAAAATACTA